CTTCACAAGCACACACATACAAACATATATAACACACTCTCACATAAATTACTATTAGCATATTTTGCAATTGTTTGAGGAAGTTAAATGCTTCCTCAAAGCATTTGAGAAAGCATTTAATGCTACTGCCCAAGAAAGAAGCCTATTCACATTTTACTAGAAGTAACAACACATTGTTTTTGTACAGCAAAAGGTAAAAAATTTCTATCATACTAATTTCTAGTTATAAAAAAACCTTTACCCCATTGGCCTAATATGAAGTTTACAAAGTCTATGTATCATATAATCCAGGTGGTTATCACTTTAACATATACTAAAATTTGCCAATTGGGATGTAATGTACATAATATGGAAAAATGCAAGTTTGGAAGAATAAAATATCTTAGCATAACATTCATTTGATATTCAGATTATAATTTCTTATTAATAAAACTAATCTATTGAAGTTCACTCCCCCTTCTTTGGCATTATTAAAACAAATATTCCAAATTGCTTCCCAGAAGCTATCTCTTTTTTTAAAAAAAAAATATTTTAAGACTAATACCTGTGAAACTCTTGCAAAAATGTAAGCAGTACAAATACAAGAAAATCTTTAAAGAAAGATTAAAGAAAGATGACAGGGCATGTGGACAATCAGACAGGAATTTTCTGTAATTGCCAGGAAATTTGGACCTTCTTTAAATGACATCTATTCTTCAACTAAGAACTAATTCAGTATCTAATTCTTGAACTAAGTAGTGTCTCTCTGAAATTGTCTCCCAAAGAAAAAGACACATACTACTGATCAATGTTGTTTCTGAAGAAGATTTTATAATTTAAAAGCACTGAGTTTTAGCACAATGAATTTCCTGAATTCACTATGGATAGTTTCTTTCTGCCCATCTTCCCCAGTTATGCTCTATTTTCTTACAAATTGATTTACGATTCATGTGAGGAAAAATATAAAAATAATAAATAGCATTTAACCCCTTTAATGCAGAACATCCAAAGAACATTTAAGCTGCAATAGGGAGACCAGATCCAGGCTGCAAAAATCTGAATAATTCATTAGTTGGCAGCATAGAGTTACAGTGTTCTGTGTTGCTTAGCTGCTATCTACTGATCATCCAGAATTTTGGAAACCTTATTCTGTAATCCTATAATTATTTATCTGAAGGAAGCACTATTGAAGTTCATTGTATTTAGAAATAAGTCTAACCTGAATAAACTGAGCTGTCAATTATACAATGAAATAAATGTTTGCCACTTACTATTCTCCCCTTTATACCTCTTTTCCCATGTAAGCCTGGAATACCCTGAAAAAAACAATGAAATGTAAATTTTCAGTAGAAGTTACAGGTTTACTTAGATATAGCTTGCTATCATTGTTCTTTCATTTTATTATTGTTTGTGCTTATTCATCATTATTACCATTACCAAATTAGAGTTTCACTGAGTTTCTTTCAAGATAAATTTGGGTTGAGCAAAGATGACACAATTTGCTCACATTTGTTTTCACAAGTGTTGATCACTTTTTCATTTTGTCCATTTTGGACCGTTAATGATATTCAAGGTAGCATTTTGAAGCTCATTCTTAATTCTTATGATTTACTGACACTGCTGTTTAATCAATAGTTATGGCATGCTGTGCAAAGTAACTGAGGGCACCAAAGATGCCCTTAGAAATAAGAACACAAGGCATTCAATTTGTAATAGAATATAAACAATAGAATATAAACAATTATATGGATCATGATTAATTAGATTTAGACTTCAATAAGGATTATGACAGAAAGGTCTTCCAGGGAAGAGAAGGTTCTTCGTATAAGCTGGCCCTAAATCAGGGATGGGTTCCGGNATTAAATCATTTTTAAACCATTAATATGCAGGTACCCAATTAACATTTGCAAATGAGTGCAAAGTATCTTTATTTGCACACACCAGCAAAATAATGCTTAGGATCATCCAATGTAGATTACAATTCTCTGTGAAAGGAAGATGCCAGGTATTCAAGATGGATTTGGAAAAGGGCAATAAGCAAGAGGAAGCATTGCTGATGCATGCTGGGCAATTGAGAAAGAAAAGCATATCAGCAAGAAGTCAATATGTACTTCATTAACCACAGCAAGGCCCTCAATCGTGCTTCATCATGTCAAGCTACGGAATGCCTTAGAAAAACTGGGATCCCAGAACATATCCATGGCCTCATGAGAAACATACAGGAAAACAAAAACAGAATCTGAATGGAAACATGCCCCATTCCAGATTGGCAAAGGAGTAAAATAAGCCTGTACACCCTCTCCTTATTTGTTCACCCTACTTTATTTTTCAGAGTATAAAACCCCTAAAAGAGCGTGGAGATGTTGGTGCGTCTTATACACCAAATATAGCCATTTTTGGCCTCCTGAAGCCCCGCCCCTGCACCCAATTTTTGCGGAAAACTGAGGCTTTTTTGCCTTCCCTCAGCCCCAAGCAGCCCTCTGCAGGCTTCAGCAGATATGGGGCAAGGCAAAAATGGGGGAGTTTTTGCCTTGCCCCAGCCCTGCTGAAGCCTTCAGAGGGCTGCTGGGGTCTGAGGGAAGGCAAAAAAGCCTGTTTTCTGCAAAAATGGGGTGCAGGGGCGGGCTTTAGGAGGCCAAAAATGGCTATATTCAGTGTATAAGACGCACCAACATTTCCATGCTTTTTAGGGCGTTACCTCTTCGAAATCTTGGTGCGCCCTATACACCAGTGCGTCTTATAGTCTGAAAAATAAGGTATATGTAGAATATACATATATTGACAAAGGCTGGATTGGAAGAAGACGAGTTTGTTTTTAAAACTGATGACATATAAGAGAATCAATAGTTAAATTTTTTTTTTAATTAAAGAATTATAGACACCTTCGCTTTCAAGAGGGTGGATTCGGGGTGGGAGGGAGGTTGAATTGATATTTTCCATGAATAATTCAAAACAACTTGAAACACCACGGAAAAGCCTTTATTCTGTTTGCACTTGGACCCAGCACTTCAAATTTTTAATTAAAAAAAAAATTTAACTATTGATTCTCTTATATGTCATCAGTTTTAAAAACAAACTCGTCTTCTTCCAATCCAGCCTTTGTCAATATATGTATATTCTACATATACCTTACTTTTCAGACTATAAGACGCACTGGTGTATAGGGCGCACCAAGATTTCGAAGAGGTAACGCCCTAAAAGAGCGTGGAAATG